GCTCCAATGATACGTGATTAATCGGTCAAACTCATTGACTGAGTTAATCAACATTCGTTAATTACGAATCACTCCACTAAAGACCCGTAGTTGCACTCTTTTCACTGCATAATGTTTTCGTGTCCACGGATGTACGACCATTAATGACAAGTCAATCATTCACGAGTGCTCGTAACTCAAGTTGGGTCAAATTACCGCTTTACCCCTGAGTTACATCTTACTCCTTAAATATCACTGCTCCTCTAATGAACAACCCAGTTATGGTCCGACCAATAATCGGAAGTCCCTCTCGGGCCAATGAGAGAGTGGGACCCCTTGTTCAAGTCCCGGAGTCAGCATTTAAGAGAACACTCAGCTACTCCCCTAAAGTCGGGGAGGAATGAATTTCATCTCGTGAAGTTATGTTCCCAGCTCCCCACTCAGTCTCGTCCCCAAAATGGTAGGAATTTTGAGTCGGCGACTCGGGCCACTCTCACYCATACAGATCAAAGGACGAGCCTTCAAGGGCAGGAGTCCATAACTCACTCAGGATTGAGAATGAGTTGCCTGGTCATCCTAAGAAACAGCAATCTATTAGTTAATGGTGTTACATCTCAAGATTGGCTATTTCGTGGTCCGGTCTTATACAAACTCATTGTATATGATACCTCCACTCGCATGTCTCTACACGAACGACCTGGATCGAGTCGTCTGTAACCTTTACAGAGTGGGCCGTATCCATAGTATTGCCAGGATAAGGTACACAGCCTTATCTATATACTATAGACTCTTTAGGTTATTCACGGGACATTATCCACTTGTATATCAGGGGTATATCAAACATATACCGGGTATATCAGGGGTATATCAATTATATACCCAGTATATCAAATATATACCCAGTACATATATTGTCCCGGTAACACTAAAATAACCTCGGATGTTTAGTTTATTGGATTTTGGACAATGCAATGCTATGAATTCAACAACAAATTTATTGAATAAAACTTTATTGAATATACATTTGTTTTTACACAAAATACAAACTACGAGTTTAGGGTAACACACCCAACAAGAGAAACGAGGAGGCAACTTAATGAGGAGGTGGTACACTATTTAATATTTCACTTTTCCCTAAAAAACCTACTTGAAGGAAAAAGTATATATATATAAAATCGGTTCGGTTCGAGTTAAACTGAGATTTATTTCTCTAAACTCGAGAATCGAATCGATTTGGTCGGTTCAGAAAATCTTTAACCCAACCCAAACCACGAATTTACTCAACCCAACCTGACAATCGGGTTGGGTTGCTCGGGTTATCGGGTTACTGGGTTTTTTGAAAACCTTTACATTTCATACCCAGATTCCACGTCTATGCCCTCACATCCTTTCTCCATTTTACTCCTCCACATTTTCAGTCCTAGGTTTCAAAAATACATGAATTCCTAAAATTTCTACGTACCCAAACCACTCAAATCTCTACATAATCAAACCGCCAAATCTACCTATTTTTAATTTCCTTATAAGTATTTATTATTCCTAATTAATTTGTCTCCAATATAATCTAATTAAAATCTATAACAAACCTAACTAATTCGTTAATAAATTTCACAACAATCACTGTTTTAGGTCTCTTAAATATTTTTACACAAGTTTCATCAATCTCCATTTTAGTTACATTGTTTGAGAATTTAATTCAAGCAACGCGGGAATACTATGCAATCACTTGTAGCCGCATTTTTATATGATAGAAGTTGGGAGGATCAGGACAATTATCAAGAGTTTAGTACTGGACACGTTTCAATTCCACTCAATTCCACCCTACAACAACTAATTGCATGCATCTCTAGAGATTTTCATTTTTCCAGAAGAAAAGAAAATTACACGTCTTTCATTGTTCAGAAATGGTGAGAGCAAGACATCATTATGAGGCTATCAGTAGACAAAGATGTGGTGTGGGTCATATCCCTTTTGTAAGATGTCATGTATAACGACTGCTGCATTGTTGTGAATACTGACCTAGTATATAACACCATATACGGGAGCAACGGAAGTGCAGACGTCACTTAGAACGTAGTTTACCTCATGGGGAAGAATTTATCTTCATGGACCCTATTGATTTTGACTGACCCAGACCGATCGAGGAAAATCCAGGTATCATATGTGTTTCTACTTACTCTGTTATACGCGTATTTACCCTATTATTTAAGCATCATTTATTTAAAGGAACGTTTAAGGAACTACAGAGCAACAAATTGTATGATCGAAACAAATTTTGGGTGAATCGCAGACATGCAGTTGAAAAATTGGAGGAAGAACAAAGGAAAACTTTCGAATTGAGCGCTAGCGTGGAGTACATACCCTTGTAGATTGTCGTTCTCGTCAAGGTTTGGAGGCGTTGAGTTTTGTCACTCGAAGCTTTACCCTTCTAGGCAGCCACAATTGGCAAGACGTGGAGGCATGCGTTGTGTGGATTCGAAGGGAGCTAAAAACATGAAGTTAGGGTTTGCAAAAAAGAAGCTACAAGAAAATGAAATTGGAGAAGAATGAGACATTTTGATTAGCTACCAACCTCCATAATTAATATTCCCATGGTATTAATTATCATGTCTTCCAATGTAGCTACCTCATCCATAATTTAAAAAACAGCATTTGATTTTTAAATTTTTTTTTTACTCATTTTTTACTATTCTGCATTTGATTTTACATTAGTTAGACATTTGATTTTACTATTTTGCATTTGTTAGACATCTTAATCTTTTAATCTCGTTTAATTTCAAAGTTTTCACTTAATAGGTTTTATTTTTTATTTCAAACTTTGAAATGTCTGAATGTAAGATTTTATTTTTGAAATTTTGAACTTTACAATTTTGATTCACTATTTCTTTCCAGGGTATTTTTGCCACAAAATTTTTAGGTAATTGTAGGATAATTTTAGTTATTTTGATGAGAGGGTATATTTGTCCACATTTAATTCTAGAACTCTAACCGACTATTAATCATTTTTATGATAGCACTATATTATATAGTCAGTCCCATAAAACAAAATATTAAGATCTCGTTTACTTACTCTCAATCGTAATAGAAATCAATCGTAATGAAAATCAATTGTAATGAAATCAATCAGAATGGGAATGTTATTCCATTGATGTTGTTTACTTGAACATATCTATAATCGGAATCAAAAACCAATTCATGGTGTTTACTTCCATCTGAAATCGTAATATGTTGATTACCAAAATACCCTTATATATTTATAACTAATATAAAATTACATTGATTAAAAAGGATTTTATGGGATTTTTTATATTGAAAAAAAATAATTACTTATAATAATTTTTAGATCTACTTATATTATTTTACTTAATAGTAATAAATTATATATTTTGTATTTAAGTCTAAATTTTTTTTACACTTTATTTGATATTATTATTACATTATTTATTATAATAAATTTTTTTTACCAATTCAATCTAAAATTAAATAATTTTATAATACAAACAGGCAAATGAGAAGAGGAAAAGCGACAATGGAGTAGTTGAAAAAATAACCCTAAAGAAAGCAAAAAATCGTGAGTCTACATGAGAGAGAAAATGACATTGGTTGTCAAATTACCAAAAAAAAATGTATTGTGGGTCCCACAGATTAAGAAATTGGAATGAGATTACACAGCTATTTTGTGTGTAATGAGATTGCCCATTTTTTGGGAGTGATTCCAAAATTTGGAGTGGGTCCCACGTTTTATTCCCATTCATTTATTTTGGTAAATATAATCAAACGTAATGAAAATTTTGATTACGATTGCGAGCAAGTAAACGAGGTCTAACTTTAAGAGGCTTAGAGATTAGTACATTGATAGACTATTTAGAGACTATAATTACTAAAAGGATTGAATTGTATAAAATTTACACTTTTGTCATGAAACAATCCTATTTAGGTTGGTACTCATCACCCAATTTACTAATATATTCTTTTGTATCTCACCTCAATATTTTTAATTAATTTTTAAAATCCAAAATTGGTTACTTGTGAAGTTACATCTTAAATCCTTCAAATTTTGCATAATTAGACTTTACAAAAGTAAAAGAAATACCAAATCTCCAAAATCCTCCGTTATTGAAAAAATTCTAAAACCTCATTCCTCCGACTTTTTTTCTTCTTCCATCGTTCTGTTTCCGTCCATTCCTTCTTCTCCGGCCGCCATCTCCGTTCTTCTTCGTCGCCGGAACAATCCATCTAGCTTCTCCTTCGTCTCCGGCCGTTCGTCTATTGTTTCCGTCAGTTTATCTCGAGGTTTCTTTTTTATCATCGGCCGCCTGTCGACCATTTGAGCCCTCTGTTTATCTCAACCATTGTTTTGTCGCCGACCGGAAAGTTTGTAGGTTATTTGCTTTGTTTTTTAATTGTAGAGGGATATAGTCGTATATACTTTATAGCCAAATATAGGTTATATATCCATATAAGTGTATGTTATAATGGCTATAGTTTATATCACCATTGTTCAGTGTATGTTGCTTAAGTTCATATTCGGATATAATTTCTATTTCCATATAACTGAAAAGGTAGCCAGATATAGTTTATATCTCTATGTGAAAATATAAGTGTATGTTATAATGACTATATTATTGAAATTTGGTCCAAATTTGTAATAAAATGAAAAATATTTGTAATAAATTTCATTATTTAGTAGAATATATTAAGGGGTAAATTTGGGGATTATGATAATAATTGAATAAATTTAATTCTAGAATATATTAAAAAGTAAATTAGAGGATTATGAGAATGATTGATTTAGGTCCCATAATAATTTAATATTTACGAAATCAAATTTTGAAATATTAATCTTTTGTATTTAAATAAAAGACGAATTATAATAAATATAAATAGCAGGACAACGAAAACATTTTAAATCCAAAAATCTAAAACGGTAAAATTTGTAAATATTAGACAAGTTTCCAAGACAGCGAAGACATTATCTCATAGGTTTAAGTGGGTTTTCTTAAGCGGGCCTCATGGACATCGCGATCCAAGATCAGTAGCTAAAACAGCCTGAGCCAGCTATGGTACTCTCCAGTGTCCACACAGCGGAGATTGGGTGCCACTGCCATGGCAGTCTCTTCTCTGCGGTTCCCGCTTTCCCCATGGACGAAAACTTCATCTACATGCTTCCGCTTACCCTACATTGCTTTCGTTTCGAGGAGCCCACATCTTAGACCTAGACTATTGTGCTGTTGCTCATCTCCTTCTGCGTCCACTGACGCTTCTTCCACTCGCTGCGCTCCGGACCAGCTCCGGACATGGGAAGCTTTTCGCAAGAAAAAGGTCGTTATGCGGATCGGCTATGCCGGGACTGATTATAGAGGTCCCATTTCGTATTACTCTCTATTTCTCTTGACGACCCTGTTGCAAAATATTGAGTGTTTTACCAGTTCATTAATATTTGAATTTTTCAAATTCAGGACTGCAAATGCAACGCGAGCAACAGTCACATCCAAGTAAGTTTCTGTTTTACACCCATTCCTTTGTTAATCGCAATTTCCTGTCATTGTATTGGCAATAACTGCCGCTGGATATTTTGTAGCTGTGTTTGGTAATTGTGAACTTTCACAGTAAACGTGACTGTGATATTAGAAATTACTGATTTAGCTAACTGCAGGCTACAACAACTATTTATGACAATCTAGTCTGAAATTTATACTAGTTACAGAGTAACTAACTTAAACAGTCGAGCTTCTCTAAGCAATGAGAAATTTTATATATATATATATAAAAGAACAAATTTAAATACATTTGAGCTAATTAACCTCGTATATACTTAAAATCCCCCCGGGGGTGTTGGATCTCAAACAGCAGTTGATTACTGAAAGTGGCCTTTTGAGTATATCAGCCGTCTGATTACGATATTTTGAATTGCTAATGACCCAAGAAAACTTTCTCAATCTCAATGTCTCTTATTCAAGAATATTGAACTGAGTCGAGGATGAGTTTGGCATACCTTTAAGTTTAAACATTTTTTCGTAAAGTACTCCTAATAAATATAATAATTATGCATTTGGTTACAATATTTTAAAAAGTGTTTTTAAAAACAAATTGGAGTGCAATCATTATAGGTGGCTCATTGGTCCATAGGGGCTAGGGTAATCTCATGATGGCCACCTACCTTAGAAATTACTAATGTTGTAGGGTCAGACGGTTGCCCCGTGAGATTAGTCGAGGTGCGCCTGCGCATAAGCTGGTCCGGACACTCACGGATATAAAAAAAAAAAGAACAAATTGGAGTGCTCAACACAAGTTATTTTGTAACTATTCAACCTATACCATCGGTTTTGATTGGAGGGCTCTTATACAACACTCCCTGGGAGAAGGGACTACTTGTCCCTTATTCATTTAGGCTGTCTTTGCCTTGACAATTATTTGAATGAAAGCATTACTCTATTTCTTATTAAAAAGAAAAAGAATTTATTTGGTTGCACTACATTAGTGATTCTACTAATCACAAATATATTTTTCGAATATGTTTTTTTCTTAATATTGATTTTCAGTCGATCACTTTAAAGCAGCCTTTTGAATAATCATCTTTAAAGTGCGTCCTCCGAAAGAGATTTGTAAATCAATATGGCTTTTTAATATGCTTTTTATTATCATAGATTTTTAAGAAAGCACTTCTAGTCATCTAAAACCACTTCGAAAGTTAACCATCATGGGTTGGCCTAGTGGTCAATAAGGGTCAATGTAAATAGTAAAGGGCTTAGAGGGAGTCATGGTGACCACCTGCCTAAGATTTAATATCCTACGAGTTACCATGACAACCAAATGTAGTAGATCAAACACACACTTAAGTCCGTACAAGATTAGTTGTAATGTTGGCTATGGTCTGTAGGTTGCAGCACCTCCAAAGATAATGCATACACATGTATCAGTATCAAAATCAACTATGGTT